ATTCTGTGATTCTGTGATAAAGACATTGATTGACTCCAGTTGGCGTTTAACAACATGAGAGATTTCTGGTAATCTTAACATATTGAAATTGAGCGTTGAACCATTGAAAACCAAAAAAACTTGGATACGTTAGGAAGCTCGATGTTTGGGTACCACATGCACCTAAAGAAATTCATCTCACTCACAAAATCATAGAATCACAGAGTCATTAAGGTTGGAAGAGACCTCTAAGATCATAGAGTCCAACTGTCAACCCAACATCACCATGCCCACTAAACCCTGTCCTGAAGGGCCCCATCTCCAATTCTCTCTTGAAATGTGAAGAAAACAATCAATTTTTGAAACGTATGATAACAGGCAATGAAAAGTGGATCATCTACAAAAGCAACAAACGATAAAGACCATGGAGCAAGTGTGATGAACCAGCTCAAAGCACTTCAAAAGCAGATATTCACCAAAGGAAGGTGATGCTGTCAGTCTGGTGAGATTTCAAAGCTGTTGTGTATTTTGCATTGCTTCCAAGGAACCAAACCATTAATTGACGTGTTCTGTCATCAACTGGATAAATAAAAACCAGAAGCATCCAGAATTGGTGAATCTCGAAGGTGTTGTGTTTCTCCATTATAACACTAGACCACGTACAAGTTTGGTCACATATCAAAAGTTGTTGCAGCTTGGATGGGACATGTTACCACATCCACCATATTCACCAGACCTGGCACCATCAGACCACCGTTTGTTTCATTCTTTACAAATGCCTTGAATGGTAAAACCATCACTGCTGATGAGGATATCAAATCATTCTAGGAACTGGTTTTTGCCAAAAAAGATAACAGCTTTTTTGAGCATGGAATCATGAAGTTGTCTGAAAGATGGCAAAAGGTAACTGAAAAAAATGGGCATTATATTGTTTAATAAAGTTTTTGTTTCCCATGAAAAATTCACCTTTCATTTACCCAGAAAAAAACCCCTGCAATTACTTTTTGGCCAACCCAATAGTTAGTTTCCCTATGTGTTGTTTATGTCCTGGCTAATTGGAAAGCTTTTCTTGTTTTTCAAGCTTCCTGGACGCCATTGAATTTGCTAAAAAGGGAGAGTTTGATGCCTATGTTGCTGTTGGAGGTGGGTCTGTAATAGACACCTGTAAAGCTGCCAACCTGTATGCATCCAGCCCTACCTCAGACTTTTTGGATTATGTCAATGCTCCTATTGGGAAAGGGAAGCCTGTCACTGTGCCCCTCAAGCCACTCATTGCAGGTAAAGCAGGAGGTGGGGGTGTGGAGCGTGAGGGCCAAGAGAAGGGGAGTCATTCTACACTCGTTATGATATTTTTACTGAAATCAGCTCACCTTTCTGTGGGCTTACTTCTCCTCTAGTTGTATTCAGCAGCAGTTTTGCTGTTCAGTGGAAGTGTAAAATCACGGTTTTTGTTATTAGTTTGTCTTGTTTGACTCCTTTTACTGAGAAAAGGGATCAAAGCGGCAGTTTCTCTTTGACCTGTTGGCTTTGGATCAGGGATACCTCCAAGATTTCCTGTATTTTGATGGCTTTACTATTGTGTTTTTATTTATTTATTTTGCAGTATTATATATTACTTATTTTTTGTTGCTATCCCCCTTCTTCCTTTTAAGTTCCTACCACAGCTGGAACTGGAAGTGAAACAACTGGTGTTGCCATTTTTGACTTCAAAGAACTAAAAGTAAAAACTGGTGAGTTTGGGGTCTTTTTGTCTGCTCTTCAAGACAGTTGCTTTTCCAATGTCTTCTTTATTTCCCTGCCTTGAAAGAAAGGGATACTGTATGTCATTTCAGGTGTCAGTTTGTTTCATTCATCTGCCACAGGCAAATTTGAAGAGCTTAAAGGTTTCCTCCTTGAGTTAAATTTATAGCATATTAACATATTGAAATACCTATGTAATTCAGTGGATTGTAGCTTGAAGGCAAAACAGGAAACTAAAATCTTTCAAGTTCTTAGATGGCAGAAAATGTTAATTGCAAAGGAAATTTCTACTTACATTCAGGGTCAACCAACTGTTCCTTATTTTCTCTGTATTTTGCTTTCTGCTTCTAAGACTTCTGTTTCTTTGTTGTGTAATTGCAACCAAATGTTCCTTTTCCTGACTTCTGAAACCTCAGGCCTGAAATGCTGTGCAAGTGAGGGCCGCTGTCTTCCTTTGGTCTTTTCATCCCTGGCAAATCAAGATTAGAGATAAAATGTCATCTTCAGCTTCATAGCAGTTTTGTGATTTTAGTTCTAGATGTGTGGATTTTATGTGCCACAATCTACAGTACTTGGGATGCAAATGGGTGTGCTAAGGAGCTCTGACCGTAGCTTAAGAGTTTTCTAGTCTATACGTAGTCAATAAGTCTGTTTGTGTCTGTATGCGTGTCTCTCAAAGCTACATCTGTGCCCCCTTAACCAAAATATGAAGGCATAGTTATTACAGATGCTGAAGACAGCAATTAGCAATAGCAGCTGATTTTAGACACAAACCAGTCTTGCCCTCTGATTTTTCACAGAAGATACAAATCTAAGAATACTGTTGCGGAAGCCATTGAGCACAGACATTTTGTAAGTACAGGCCGCTCAGGAAGGGCTGCAAATGGAGAGAACATTGGCTGGTATAATTCACTTAAGGCAACAGTCTCAAATCTATATGAGTCCCTTATAGGGACTTCATCATCAGTAAGACTTACATTCATAGGCACCTCTCACTCTCCTTTCTCTCTGTTATCTCTTTGCTTTTATCTCCATTGTTTCAAATCATTTCCCCTCATTATTGTTACATTTTGAACATGAAGCTTGTCTTGTCCTGTTTTGTTGCAGAACTCCTTTAACTCAATTTCCTTATATTTTGCAGGTATTGCTTCAAGAGCCATTAAGCCAACATTAGGCATCATTGATCCTTTACACACATTGTCTATGCCTGAGCGAATAGTGGCAAACAGTGGCTTTGATGTGCTTTGGTGAGTTTTCTGTGTAGGCTGCTACTTGAATTCATTACAGTTTTGTATTTTTACTGTGATTATTGTAGAAAAAATATATATTTTAGGAGCAGAAAAGGATGATCATTTTTTTCTCCCTTTCCCGTTCTTGTTAAGGTGGTCTTGCTTATACTTTCCTCTTACCCAATTTCACTACCTCCTTCAGAAAGAATAGAAACAGATCACTCACTTGCAGAAATGTATTGGTTTTGCAGTGCATTGGAGAAACCATTTGCTTCCAGGATTGTTGTTGTCAAGGAAGAGAGTCCTGGTGTCCCTTTTGAATAGATCAAGTAGATGATTAATCGCAATTGTGACAGTGTTTAGCATGTCTCACAGACATGGCAGGGAATAGAGCACACAGATTTTCTAATAAAATGTCAACAAAAATTTGTGAAGGCTTGTGGAATGTCGGCCGGTCTTAGCCCCATTATGTGCTTTTCACTTGGCACAAAACACTCTTTATCTTAAACCTACAGCTTTTCACTGCATAAAATGCGTGGAAGTTTCTATGCAGAGGGACAGAGCTTACTGTGCTTCTGGGTGCTGTGTATATTGAAGTAATAGACGTATAATGAAACTGTGATTTTTCAAGCTTGAAGTATCCTGAACTGCAATGTCTGTAATGGAATTGAGGCATTTGTTCAGAAATTAAAATTGTTTATCTGTACTTTTGTACATCTAAATGTAGCAATGTCGGCAGTGCCCCTTCTTTATGTGGTCAGATTCATGAGTACCTGGAAGATGAGACTGTTGCCAGTTCCGCTTAGCTTAAATATCATACTCCTAATTTTTTAAAGGTTAATACTTTAAAATAAAGGTAGCTTATCATGCTTCCAGTCCTAAAACTTCTTACAGTTCCTGTCCTACAGAAAGGAAGCACACCCATTGCAGATGCCCAGTGCTCTTTGGTGAAAAGCATTACACCCCGAAATGCCAGTTCATCCAACCTCACTTCAAGCATGGATGTGAGCTGTGACTGTGTTTGGATTTCCTTCTGTGTGTCTGTTGGAGAGCGAAGTACCCTGGAGATGCCCACCCAGCATTCTCGCAGTTGTCTGTGAGACTGTATTTCCACTTTTGGCAACTCTTCAAACAGCAGAAGTAAATAAGGAGAGCCTGCATTCAAAGGGCAGAAAGGCACTAAAATGGAGCTTTTCCACTTAAATAATTCAGTTTTTAATCTCTCTTTTAGCCATGCTCTGGAATCATACACTGCTCTTCCTTACAACATGCGCAGTCCCTGCCCTTCAAATCCAATCAACCGACCAGCTTACCAAGGCAGCAACCCCATCAGCGATGTCTGGGCTCTTCATGCTCTGCGTATTGTGGCGAAATATTTGAAAAGGTAATGCATTTAACAGCCACCTTACTCGCAGTGTGTTCAGTCTTCAGTGCCCAAAAAGGGATGCTTAGAAGAATGTGAATTTCAGGCTAAAATAAGGTGAACTACTACATTAAGCCTTCATTTTCTACCCTGGATTTCTCTGAAATAAAGCAAAAAGGTTTTCAAATAAAATTGAAAGTAAAGTTAGGGTCACTAAGTTGTCTGAAGAGCTGGCTTTTTAATGCCTTTGGATCTGTTTTAGAAATCCCCAGTTAAAGGTATTTCAAATTGTTCAGTTAAAATGGGAGCAGCATTCACATATTTTTTTCAAGAATCCTCTTTCTGTGACAGTATAAGGAGAATATGTAACAAACTGAATGAAATGCCACTGGTGTAATTTCTGTGACCTTCAGTGTAAATTAAGATACTTAGACATCTATAAAGAAGGTAACCATATGCACTTACAAATGTGCAAAATTATGCATTTACTGAAAGCTAGTTCCTACTTAGAAGACTTGGAATCAACTTAGTTTAAATTTTGACTTAACTGGGAGTTGGTTCTGATCCCTACCAATAGTTTTAGCCTGTATATAGCTTTTGTATACCATGTGCACTGCTGTTAAAGATCAATGTGGGATTTTTGTAAAAGACTTTTTACAGTACCTTGCTAGTCAAAGTAGTGGTTTATTGTTCCTGTGGAATATATTCATGAGACTTTTTCTCCATGTGGTCAAACTGCACAAGCAGTCTGATGCGTAGGAAGTCAAGGAACCCTGTCCTCTTCCTGCACAGATGGTGGGGTCCAGACCACCACCTGATTAATGAGATGTTGAGAAAGCTGGAGTGATCTTGGAGCCGTACATAGGATTGCCAAAGCTCCTAAGTAGAACTGTTTAAACCACCACTGAGGTGAATATGGCTAAATTCACTCTATTTACTCAGTTTTTGGAAAAGTGAAAGGAAACTTGCCCTTCTCTGAACCAGTTTCATGTACTTACTGATCCAGAGCAGGATTGTTCTCTGACTGAAGTGTGAATTGATCCTATTTCCAGCATTTTTATCTCAGCTTATCGTAGAGGTTTTTGTATATCTGTCCATAAAGAAGCACTCTCTCCCTTCTCCATCCTGAATTACCAGTTTGTGAATTCACCGATACTGTTGTCTCCATGGTGCACAGAGCCATTGGAAACCCTGAAGACTGTGAAGCAAGAGCCAACATGCACCTCGCAAGCGCTTTTGCTGGTATTGGCTTTGGCAATGCTGGTGTTCATCTCTGGTGAGTGCAGAAAAATGTTAAACACCACCCCCACCCACCCCAGTTCAGCTTCTGTTTAGTGTTTGTTTCAGATTATCAAAGCAGTTGCTGCCTTTGTTGCTGAATAAGTAAGACATTGTAGCCTGGTCTGTGATGCAGGGGTAGACATGTGTTGTGAGAAATTGATGGGCTCTTGGCATTTATGTGTATGAGCATTGTGTATTCTAGCTTGTGATTCTCAAATACAATCACGAAAATTACAAAATGTGGCCTCCTTTACCTTCCTTGATGGTAAAAACCATAGTAAAAAAAAATCAATGGCATTTAAAAGGTTGGATTTCATGCCAGCTGTTCTGCAGTAAGACAGCAGTGAGGTAATGTTGTGCCATTCCTGAACTGATGCAGTTGTCTGTAAGTTTGTCTGTGGAGTAGGTATTCAGCAGGCTGAAATGAGCTGTAATTAATATTGCAAGTCAATGTAGTTTCATGTGCGTGAAAGTCTCAGAGAAGCAAAGTCTAAACCTGAATTTTGTGGTGAAGTTATTAGCAGTCATTCTCTTCAGAGACCTTCCTTTCATTCCTTTTGTTTGAGCAAATCCACTCTTTAGTTATACTTAAAACTTAATGCTTATTTTTCTCAGGCAGTGTGATCAGGTAGGGTGCAGATTATGCTATTTTTGGCATATTTGTCTTACTTTAGTAACTGAGCATCTTTCAGTCTAGTCAGTGGAGTAATATAACTTCACACTCGCAAAGTAAGGAAAAAGCTGTTTTTTACAGCTGGGTTCCTGAAGTGCCAAGAGGTGAGGATTGTCTGTACCTGATATCCATACTGTATCTGTAGATAAATAACTTTCGTGTATCTATACCTAAGAGACTTGCATATGGAAGACTGACCACACAAGGGACTGAACACAAATTTTCCAAATACCTGCCCTAACCACTTTCTCTCTACTCTCTGTTCCAGCCATGGAATGTCTTACCCTATTTCTGGCTTGGTGAAAACTTATAAACCAAAGGATTATAATGTGGAACACTCTCTAGTGGTAAAACTTGGTTTATCTATACATTTATTTCAATTCTCTGTTATCTCACATTAATGAGCATTAAATCACATTGAAATTGAAAGTACATGTCCTGTTGATGTGATTTTATTCTTTTTTCTTTTTTTTTTTTTTCCTAGCCACATGGCCTTTCTGTGGTGCTGACATCCCCAGCAGTGTTTGCTTTCACAGCACAGATACATCCTGAGCGGCACTTGGAAGCTGCAGAGATACTAGGTAGGAATCTCTATGGATACAACTTACTCATACAAATCGAATTCTTGTCAAAATGTCTTTTTTTTTTTTTTGAGAAAAATAAAAACCCAAACCAAACATGTGCAAGCAATTGTAGTTGGTTGTTGCAGGGGGATGTAGTTTAAAAAACAAGATTCTGTAGTCTGACTAAGTTACACATAATGTAAACTCAGATAGAATAATGCTAAATTTTTATATTGGATGATGTAGATAGAGAAGCAAGGTGAAGCAATCTGCTTCTTGGCTAGAAAACTGGACAGCTGAAAGTAACTGTAGGTCTGTTAGGAATCAGGAGAGAGTAGCTGTGATTGGCATCTCTCTTGATGTTTTACGGAGAGGAGTTACTTTAGAGTAGATAGCTTGAAACAAAGCAGCACTCAGGTGTATCTGTTAGCTAAAAGGAAGCATTCTGCCTTACAAATTCCCTGCTGTGGCAATGAATTAGGATGGAGTGATGTTCTGAACCACTCCTGCTCTTTTTCTGTGGCACACAACTACAGGTTTCTGTGTTTCTAATGTAGGTCTAAGCTTGTTTTTAGGTGTTGGAATTTCTCAGCGGCCAATGTATGCAGTAGCTATTCTGTGGACATACCTGTGATGGCTCAGAAGTGGGTTAATGAAGAAAATGGCCTTTTTTGCTTCTTAGAAGAATAAAAGTAAATGCTGCAAACTAACGGCTCATTTTAGGATTGTTTTTCCATACAGTGCTTTGTTATCTGTACAGCCCATCACCATAAGGTGTCCTAGAGAAAGCATAACTCTTCATTGCACCCCCAGCATGACTGTGTGGGACCACTAGCTTTCAGTGATGTAATCTCAGAGCTGTTCGCAGTCTAGCTGTGACAGCATGGCTCTGTGCTGGGCTAATTATTGATATCTAAGGTCAGTTTTTTGTCTGCATTAGGCTGTGTTGTAGCTAAACTGCTGCTAGTACCCATGCTTGCTCATGAGCAATCACAGTCACATGCAGCAGTGTAGAGAGCAGAGAGAAAGTGGTTAGGGCAACTATCCTGGTATTTGGAAAACTTATGTTCAGGGCCTTGTATGGTCAGCCTTCTGTATGCAAATCACAGCAATTCAGTCACATGTATGACTTCCTTGTGTAAGTAATCTGAAAGCATCGTGAGTTTCAAGGAAGTGTGAGGCTTTTATATAGATAATGAAAATATCACAGTATTTTAAACAGGATGTAAAACAACATGACCAGAAAAAAATCACTGGGGAAAAATTCCATTTACTTTATAAATGTTGGCTATGAGACTTGCTCAGCCTTTGGCTTGCTCCAAAGTATGCAGTCTTGCGTATGGTCAAAACCAGTACACAAACCTAGTTGGAATCATATACTAAGCTACAAAATGCTTATGTTCCTACAGCAATAACATACAACTTAAAGCAGACTAAGAAAATATTTCTGGATAACTGGCCAGCACAGCATATCAGAGAATTTGACTGGGGCTTCTCAATTTTAAAACGAGTGGTTAAAAAGCCGTTCCTTTAGGTTTTGTGGTGTCAACTGCTGCCATAAATTCTGTCTCTAAAAGCTCTGTTAATTTTCTGAATAGAAATTTAAACTTTGTTATTTTCTGCCTTGCTGTAAAGGGACTTTATGGAAAATATGTCACGTGAAATTGAATTTGTTAATCCCCACCTGGGGTGTTTACTTCTGATTCCAGTCCAGAGTCCAACTGACTATCATAGCTGATTCAAATCTGTCATGTTGCCAAGTGCAATGACTAATAAGGTATTTTATGACATGGAGGAGCTTACTAAATAGTTATGTTGTGTGTATGTACAGCTGTGAATTTGGGTACTGCCAGAAAAAAGCTTAATACCTCCCTGGGTGGATTCTTAAATAGTTGAAATAGGTGTGCGTGTGGCCAGAAATTTTCTAAGTGCAGTCAAAGACTGATGTATCCTTTAGGTTGAGCAAAAAGTACTAGAACTAGTACTAGTATTTTAAAACTGCCCTTCATGTTTACTGTCCTTTTTTTCATTCTCCTCCCTTTGGCTTTTACTTTATGATCTGAAGATACTGGATTTATGTCCCAGTTACTCCTCTACAGCAAAACCCAGGATAAACTCAGACGGCACAGCATAATCCCAACAGACTAAGACTTTGTATAAGAATCCATCATACCTTATTTATGAATTTTTCCCAGACATTCTCTACCACAGTGCTGCCAGTCTTACTACCCGAATATCTGAGCTCCTCAAATGAGCTTGTTAGTCTCCTATTCCCTTAACTCCCTTTGAACATTACACTGAACTGCATGAGGATCACAGAAAATATTTTTCCTGTAGCTATGTTGTGCTCTTACTCATCCCTCAGTATGGCACTTAGACCTAACATAGTTCTGGTGTAACATCATTGAGGTTACGCAGAGAACAGATTTAGCTCAGCTTACTTTGAAAAGAAACCATATGGAGGAACCTGTGTCTTTTATCTCGAAATATTTTTATTCATAGCATACCAGGTTGGAAGGGACCACAGGGATCATCTAGTCGGTTTTTATTTTTATTTATCATTTTTACTTATTACTTTTACTTATTACTTTATTATTACTTATGTTTTTATTATTACTTCTAAGTAAGTCCTGACCATTCACTGAAGGAGGGGCAGCAAGCTATTCTGTAAGAAATATCTGTACTCCTTCATTTGATATTGATGCTTTCATTCCTGTTCAGTAGATGTTTCAAAGGTACCAGTTCCTCCTCTTCAGTATTACATTATCCTACACAAGTCAGCACATATTCAAATAGCCTTAAGTGTAGGACTTACTTAACCCCTTGAACACTGCCCTACCATCTCCTGCCTTTCTAAGCCTACGTGCTCTAGTCCTCTTTGAATAAGTAACTGAACAGAATAGTCAGTGGTTTCCATGTCCTGTAGATGTCAGCAAACTCAAGGCCTTATAATAAAGTTAGCATTTGGCACGCTGTCCATGAAAATAAATACCACTGACGTTCATGTGTTAGCTGCTTTCCTCCCAGCAGTTAGTCAGACCGAAAAGTGCTCCTCTCTGTAAGCACAGAGGGAAAGGAAGTTAACCTTATGTGGCAGTTAGTCTTTCTGGCAGCAGTTACCTGCTTCTCCTGGCCTTGTTTTATTTTACCTTTTACAAACTATTCCAACTGATTCCTCTTTTTGCTTTGTGTTGCTTTTAGGGCAATGTCTGTTATGTATGGACTTGTGTTCAGCTGATATTATGATTAAATTAAGTCCAGAACAGGCTTCTTCCTCTCTCTCCACCCTACAGTCAAGACATTATGTCTTATTTTAGGAGCTGACATCCGCACTGCCAGAATCAAAGATGCAGGGTTTATTTTGGCAGACACACTCCGGAAATTCCTGTTTGATCTGAATGTTGACGATGGCTTAGCTGCAATTGGTTATTCTAAAGCAGACATCCCTGCATTAGTCAAAGGCACTCTGCCTCAGGTAAGACAGAAAGCAAAATGTTTTTTCTTGTCAAATAAAAAGAGCAGATTTTGGGAAAGAAAGGGAAAAAAAAGAAAAAAACAAAAGAAACCAGAAGGTGTTTCTTTTCAAGGAAATGTTATTATTTAGTCTTACCTGAAAACAATTAAAATGGAGAAAATGATGGAGAGTCAACTGTATTTTGTTTCTCTGCGCATTTTAGGTTTTTCTTTTCAGTGAGATGGAGTGTGTGCTGCAATCCTTTCTTAGCATGGATTCAGAACAAATGGCTATGTCTTTGTGTTTTTTTATTTTAATCCCATTTTTTTTTAAAGATAACATTTTTCATAAACCTTTGATCTTTGTAGAAGATACTGCGTTTTCATAACTACCTCTGTTAATTCTGTATGCAGCATGGGTTATAGATGAAGCTTTAATACCAAGTGCTATCTGGTAAGAATGATTGAGTATACTTTGCATTAAACTTTTCTTTATTAAGAAGTTGCAGTTTTCTTCCCAGATGGCTTTTTTGTTCCATTGACCTACATCAGAATTTGAAATAAGGTCTCCTGTGATGGTACAGATTAAACTTTTCATACCCTTGCTTGTTTCAGTGCTCACAAAGACACTGCAAAAAACAACACACCACTCCAGAAGCAAAATCCAGTGTCTTCCTCTTAAAAATACAGTTTGATTCATGTGCTGTGGATTGTTCTGTCTACTTAGGATTTATTTCCACCAAGTAGCAAGGGAAAGAAATGATATGGAGAAAGGATGAGAAGTTATTAACTTTTTACAGCAGTACCTCTTACCATGTCTAGTTCTTCTCATTCATAAATCTCAGAGCAACTTGTAACAGAGGGTGATTACTCATATTCCTATTTTATACCTGAGAAAATGACACAAAGGTGCAACTATTTATGATCACACACAACAGAGCAATAGCAAAGCCAGGAAGAAAACTAAGGTTTTCTGAGTGCCCACCAAATAGGTTGTGCATGTAAAGTGTTACGGGGCATTTTGGAGGTTTGTTTTGATAAATGTGTTCTTTTGAAACAATTGGATTAGGATCATCACAAGCACATCTCATTGAAGGCATGTTTTGCATAGCTGGGAAGGGTGGAAGATGTTGAAAGGGTTTTTGTTTGTTTGTTACCTTGGATCAAATTGACTTCTAATTTATTTACTGTCATCTCACAGCATTGATGATTAATTGTACTGTGTAAAATGAGATGACCTAACAGTTTTGCAAACCTCATTTTTGTATATGAGATGTAGCATGATTAAAATGTATTAGTATTCCTTAATAGTCCATTATTACCCACAGAGGTAGTCCACACAGTTTAATCTTGGGTATTTTTTTTCTTTCCATCTTGCAGTAGGTTTTCTTTGGAAAACAGCACTGACCCATGTGCATCAGCAAGGCAGTGTGTTGCAGTAGTGACAGCAGTAGTAATTGTGCGCGGTGTATTCCACGCTGGGAAGTGCAGGCTGCAGGAAAACAAAACTGCCGGGATTTGGGATGGGAACTCTACTGGGACAAACATTTATATTTGATGTTAAAACAGCATTGGGTCAGCTGTCCTGGCCGAGTCCCTTCCCAGCATCACACTTGGTGCATGAGGCCCTAGCAAATGACATGCCCTGCCTCACGTGTGAAAAAGGTTGGGGAGAAATTCAGGGCTTTTACCGGAACAGCCTCTTCTGCAAGGGAGATGCTGAAACAGGTTGTAGCAGAGGAAGCCCCATCTTGCCAAAATACACTGTGTTCATCTAAAGATAATGCGTTCCTATTGTAGGCCTGGCCTCTGTCTTTGCAGATGTTTGTAACTCACCCCGAAGTTTCAATAAATGTTAAAATTGTTGACTGTTGAAAGTATAAAAGTACTAATCATAAGCAGTATGAGTATGTTAATACTAAGCCCTTTCAGCTGAATGTTTCTGCGCTAACCAAATACCTACACCAATACAGCTCCTCATCCTCAGTAGCATCAGGCTTTCCTGAATTGCCATCCCTGCCTTTGTGGTTATTTTGTCAAGCAAAGCAGTGAAGGATATACCCAAGTTTCACTTCAGTCAGTGGGACGTCAGCACCTGAAAATTCTGTTGAATCCCTGTCCAAATGAAGACCAACCACAACTTTTGTATTCTGATTCCATGATGTCGGGCTATTTATTAAGCAGTTTCACTACCATCCCTTGCTGTAGCTCTTTTTTTGGAGGTGGAGTTGCAAGCACTGTCCCCATCTACATCCTGGGCTTTGAGAGATGACACATTTTGAAAACCGTGGTCCCTAAAAATTGAAATCCTAGTTCCAAGGCTAGAAAATGAACTTTTTAAATGGACTGTATTCCCAGGACAATGTCCTCCAGTGTACTGACATCTGTGGCTGACAATATCCGTGTTTGAAGTACTTGGCTTTGCAACTGAACTGCTTCCTAACCTTGCTTCTGTGTATTTATTTACAGCCAATTTTAACTAATATAGTCTTGAAAGTACCGTACAGTTTATGATGCTTCAACCTTAATTACTTGATTACTTATTTGCAAAACCTTGTTATTCTCTGTGAAGGACATTAGTACAAAGGCACATAGTTCAGCTACTGTTTGATTAATTTTATTGGCGACCTTCTGTAATCCAGTTTTTTTTTAATCTTTCAGGAGAGAGTGACTAAACTGTCACCACGCCCCCAGACAGAAGAAGATTTATCTGCCCTCTTTGAGGCTTCCATGAAGCTGTATTAGCTTAAACATGTTGTTCTGAAAAGTGTACTCTCTTCTCACACAAAGGTAATTTGTTACAGATAGAGGGCTCAATTTCTTTAGAGAATGGAAGAACTTGGGTACCTTTGACTTCTGTTCCATTGTAAACTGCCAAAAGGTCAAGTAATTCATCTTTACCTAAATAGTGCTTTGAAGTGAAGGCTCAACTGTGGTTCTTTCTTGCACAGTAGTCAGTGGTATTAACTTGGATAAAAGGTGGAGCAGATTTCATATGCACTCGTCCCCTCTGAACCCCTCTGTTGTCCTGGGGTTGCCTCAGCGTGACCCAGCTGTCTCCTTGGAACCTCTCAGCACCCCAGTCCACCTCTCAGTATGCTCTAGAGGCCTCAGCTTGCCCCCTGGTCCCTGCAGAACCCCTCTGTTTGCCTCCTTGCCCCCTCCCTTTGAGCCTCAGGAACCTGTTGTACACAAAAGCCCACCATTGACATTCACAGGGGCTAGTGGAGGGCTCTAGGGCACAGTCCAACCACAGGACAACTCTTCTTTTTGCCCTGTAGCTGTCTTAGGATCGCCACAGTCCCCTCAGGACCCCTCATAACACCTTCGTTGTAGCCCAGACTCCTCTGCAGGACCTCAGCACCCTAAGAAACCCCACCAGACTGAGGGCTATTGTGTAGTGTGGGAGAGCAGCAGGGGCTTTGGTACAAGGACACCCTGGGTCAGTGGCT